ACTGGGTCTGCCTTGCAGTGGCAACAGCAATGCCTGGATGGCTTGCACCCATGCCAGACACTGATCAAACACGTATACATTATGAGCAGAGTGTTATGAAATTCCTCCATTAATTATATCATTGTTAGCTGTCCAAGACACATACCACCAGCATAATTGCTCACATCCCTTAGAACTGGCAGATCCAGCAGGAAACAGTGATTGCTGCTGTTTCCTCCAGCTAATTGTGGATATGTTTCACGCCTTCCTCTGATCTTTCAAAAAAAAGTCAAGGGAAAAAGCACAAAACAACAAGCAATGTGTGCTATGAACCACTTTTGACACTGTCTTTGGTGTCACAGATGACCTCCCAAATGCCAGATCCAATGGAAACTTTTCAGTGCACGTTTATTGACTACTCTGTCCCATTTTACAACACAGCCCTTTTGAATGTGCTGCCCTGCCTTAAGTTCCATTATAAAAGCTCTGGAGAATGTCTTTGTTTCCCTGCCTGCTGCTTCCCCGTCTCTTACTCAGGGTTCTTTTCACCAGTCCTTTAACGATGGTACTTCCCAAGGATTCTGTTTTTCTATAGGTTATGCCTGGGCAGTTTCATCCATGACAACGCTTCATCCATTAATCTGCACACTAGCTCCAGCCCATGCAATCAGTCACCTCCATAAGGTTTAACGTGATGATCTCTGCTCTGTCGTTCTGTTGCTTGGCCCCCACACTATCAGTCCCCACTGCTGACCAGTCTTGCTGCTGTTCCTTCTCAGAATCTTACAAGGGCCCCTCTTCCTCTGCTTTCCCTTGAGCAGGGATATTCTGCAAGCTCATCTGCCCTTCCAGCTCCATGTCCTCTCCCTGACTGTCGTCACTGATACCTGTGGCTCGAACCATCACCGACAGACGGATGGCTCTCAAACCTGTATCTCCTACTAAAGTTTCTCCCCTGAGCCTCAGAACTTTATATTCATCTGCCTACTGAACAGTTCCATCTAGACACCCCAATGGCATCTCACCCTCCACATGTCCACAGATAAACTCATCTTCTCCCCTCAGACCTGATCATTTCTTCAGCTTCCCCCATCTTGCCTGTGGTGGGAAGAGGGAACTTATCCAGACCCAAAACCTTCTCACTCCCACTCCAGCAAGCTACTGGCTAGTTGTCCTCATGCCTGGTCCAAGGTCTTCTCTTCTCCTGATCCCCTCTCAGGTCCCTCCACCCCTGACATAGATGCCTGGCCTCCCACATCCAGACTGTCCTTAATCGACTTCATGCTCCCTGCTAGGGCCAGGGTGATATGTGAGCCACTCCCCTATCTGAAACCCTTTCATGGCTCCCCACAGCTTTCAAGAAAACATTCCTGGCCGGGTGCGGTGGCTCACGCCTGTAATCCCAGCACTCTGAGAGGCTGAGGCGGGCGGATCACGAGGTCAGGAGTTCAAGACCAGCTTGGCCAACATAGTAAAACCCTGTCTCTACTAAAGATACAAAAAATTAGCCGGACGTGGTGGCAGGTGCCTGTAATCCTAGCCACTCAGGAGGCTGAGGCAGGAGAATTGCTTGAACCTGGGAGGTGGAGGCTGCAGTGTGCCGAGATCGTGCCATTGCACTCCCGCCTAGGCAACAGGGCCAGACTCCGTCTCAAAAAGAAAAAAATAAAGAAAACATTCCTTAGCAAACACGTAGGCCTTTTGTGATCTTGCTGTCATCTACCTCTCTAGCTTTATCTCTTTCCATTGGCTCTAGTAATATCTTGCATTTCCTCAAATTCATCATGCTATTTCAAACTTTCAGACACGCATTCATGCTATTTCATCTGCCCAGAAATGACCTTCTCACACTTGTTTGTCTCTATCCGCAACTTGCCCCTCAGAGCCTAAGTGTCATGTTTCCCAGGAAGTCTTTTTGATACGCTTACTTCCCCCAAAATGATGAAGCATGCCCCACAAACTCCCAGCTCCTTCAGGTATACCTCTGAGATAGGACTTTCCACACTGTCCTGTGTCATCAGGGATGGACTTGGCCCTTCCACCCTTCCGGCCTAAATCCCTCAAGAGCCACTGCTAAACTGATTTATCTCTAGCTTCTAGCACAGAACCCATATTCATGGCACTGGATAAATGTTCATGAAAGAATAAAACTCATTCTAAAAATCTGTTACTGTCCCTACGTCCCTTATCACAATGAAGCATACACTCTTGCCAAGACTTTCACTAGTGCTTTCTGTGCTATTCATAATGAAATACGTGGCCTTTATTTAGAATGTTTCTTTGAGTTTATCTCTTTCAATTTGGATCCCTAAGGAAGGACAGAACAGTTGCTAGCACAGTAAAGAAGGGTTTTGGAGATAAGAATAAACTCAGCTGGCAGTAAGAAAGGGCTCCAGAAGACCAAAGCATCTGCTCAGAAGATGCCAATGAACTGCAACAAGGAGACCTCTTTACCCAGCTCCAGTTGGTCAAAACTGAAGGCTGACTAGTCTGAGACAAGACCCAAAGGCAGGGCCCTGATCAGGAGGAAGAGCAGAAGGAATGTATCTTCTCCAGCGACATCATGCATAGCTCCTGAATAGAGCAAGGACCTAAAACGGGGCTGGGGTGGAGTGAGGAAGGCCTTCTTAAAGCAAAGGTGCTCCCTGTGATTGTGATAAAGCAAGTTTCCATGGCATTTGACTCCACTCATGGCTAATGTCAAATGGGCACATGTCCTTGCCATGCTGTGGCCCATCAGTTCCTACCCAGGTAAACAGGCAGACCACAATACAGGCAGCACATTCAATGTAAGATGAGGGAGCAGGAAATTCCAAAGACTCCCTCAGGTCCCCGAGGTGCTTGCTGCTATGCCAACTTCGTTTCAGTCCTCCTCAGCCCCTCTGGTGTTACTTGGGTTTCCCCACTGGCTCTGGGCTGCCTTTTGTGTTGGGCCTGTGTTGAGTTACTGGCACTCAACCTCCCAGTTTTGCCTAATTTGCTCAGACCCACTTGTTCATCTTAACCCAGCACTCACTCATTCACTTGCTGAATGGAAGGCTTATTCTTCAACATTTTGTAAAACAAAGATTAAATACTTCAAGACATCAACTGTTAATGTGCATGGTATAATACTTTCACCAAGCACCTCTACAAGCAGAGTGTTTTGTTAGGTAAATACAGGCCTGATTGCTTCAGAGTATCTTTTAAAAGCTGCACATGTGTTTGGCCTGCCTCTGCCCACATTCTTTCCCTCTGTACCTACATGGCCCTGGGGGTACCTGCCTCCCTAACTTATTTCAACACAAGAAGCCCAAATCAGGTAAAGACTTTGAAACTGCTTACTCACCTCTTTCTTCACTCTGTCTGGCTGACTTTTAACTTATCACAACCTTCTGGAAATCCCCCTGTCTTGTCGATTATCTACCATATACCAACCTTACCTTTGAAACCTAATAGCTTCCTATTGGTGTTCATGTTATAGAAAAGGGAAAAGTTATTGATTAATCTGCCTTTTTAAAAAACTGTGCTTAAGTGCAAATAATGGCATGAGAAATGCTTACAACCTATATTAAGTGAATAAAAAGCAAGATAGGAATATCTATTTGTTAAGTGATCCCAATTTTATAAAACAGAAATGAAAAGAGAAAAAGATAAATAAAACGTACAGAAATGCTAATGATTATTTCTAGGTAGTGGGATATAAATGTTTTTATACTGAGGAGACAGAATTATGATTTTAGAGTTCAACAAACTTGAGACCAAACACCAATTCTACTACTCTTGAGTCACACAATCAAAGTTTCTAACCTGAGACTCAGTTCTGTCACCTGTAACAAGAAGATGGCAAGCTTACTTCTTGGAGATAGTTTGAAGATTAAATCAGAAAATATAATACATATGAAGTACTTAGCCTCATGCCTGGTACACAGTAAGCACCCAATAAATATGTTGATGAGAAGGATTCACACAGTTCTCTTTGCTTTTCAACAATGTTTCTTTATATTTCACTATTAATTCTCAACAAGGAACATGTATTTTAAAGAACATAAACCAGAAAATAAATGATCCTAACAACTGATTTCTCTACCCTTCTTGGAGTGTTCTTCTTAGTCTTCTTCAGGGATAGGTCAAATTTAACTCACTTCATTGATACCAAGTTGAAAAAAGGAAACCTGCTGAATTAACACTACTCTATAATGCAAAGAACTTCAAAGAGGGAAGCTTATTAGCTGCTTGAAGCAGAGCCTCGTGTAGTATACCACCAGTGAGACAAAACTTAGTGGCTAACCAGGTCAGAGTTAACCAGCTGCCAGGTCAGTCAGTTTTCCCAGAGAAGATATGACTATGGAAATGTGCCACACTAAGACAATTTCCTTGTGACTGAGTGACCAATGTGAATGCTAATGGAACTAGGTACTGATGTCATCACGTTAGCATATTACCTGTCCTCAGCACCCACATCAGAAAATTAGATGCCCCATCACAGTGCTTAGTGAATATCCACATCCTGAGAAAGGACCACAGTATGATTTTCATCATCAGTAATCAGAGATGCACAAAGTCATCTCCATAGAAGAGAGCTACACCTGCTTCCAAGGGACCTGGGACACTCATGTTATCAAATCTCTTTACTTTTCCTTCAAAGGTAAAACCCATACATTCCTAGTTTTTGTCTTTCCTGATTATCACTACACTTCTGGCAACACTTCAACCTTTCGCCAAGACAGCACAACAGTTACCTCAGAAATGTTATGTCAGATCTTTCTGAGAAAGCTCTTTTACTTTTCGTGAAATGATACCCCATTTCTAGCCATAAAAGATTTATGGGCCGGGCGTGGTGGTTCACACCTGTAATCCCAGCACTATGGGAGGCTGAGGTCAGGAGTTCAAGACCAGCCTGGTCAATACAGTGAAACCCTGTCTCTACTAAATATACAAAACTTAGCTGGGCATGGTGGCGAGCGCCTGTAATCCCAGCTACCTGGGAGGCTGAAGCAGGAGAATCACTTGAACCCAGGAGGCAGAGGTTGCAGTGAGCAGAGATCATGCCATTGCGCTCCAGCCTGGGCAACAGAGTGAAACTTCGTCTCAGAAAAAAAAAAAAGATTCATGAACCACCTGTTATTTATGTAATACCACCTGAATGTTGGTATTCCCCAAATTCACCTGTTCAAACCTAATACCCAATGTGATACTATTAAAAGGTACAGCCTTTGGGAAGTAAGTCATGAGGACTCTACCCTCGTGAATGGGATTAGTGCCTTTATAAAAGACACTCAACTAGAAGAAGATGGAACAATAAAAAGAAAACAGAATGGGGTAACACGAGCTCCCCTGCCCTTTCCACAATGTGAGGATATGGCAACAAGGCACCATCTGTGAAGCAGAGAACAAGTCTTTTTGAGACACTGAATCTGCCAGCATCCGGATCGTGGACTTCCCAGCCTCCACAACTGTGAGCAATACATTTCCCTTGTTTATAAATGATCCTGTCTAAGGCATTTTTTAATAGCAGCCCAAACAAAGACACCACCTCTTAGGGTGGGCCATTTCTACAGATGTTGAACTTATTCACTAGTAGTTCTATGGATTTTTTTGCAAGTTTAAATGTCTTAGGATAACTTTTTCCAGTTTTTTATCTTCAAATTCAGAGGGTGACTAGCCTATACACTGTCCATCCTTTCTCTCAAAATAGAATAAAACTATTAGATCTGCCTTTAATATCTTCAATAAACTCCAAAAACAATGAAAAGCACCACTCCTCCTGGGTTCCTTATCTCAGGTCCATCACTAACTAGGAGTATGATTTGGGGCACATGACAACTTCTTTAAGGCTCAGTTTCTTCATCAGTCATCCCTGAGATGCTAATAGCATCTCACAGAATTAGTGTGTGGATTAAATGATACATGTGGTGAAGCAGAACAATGGCTGGCATACGGTGCACAGTATCTAGAAGTCATCTTGAGCCAAAAACTCACCTGCATCACTCTATCCCTCATGCCTGTATTCTCACTTGGACAGTCCTCTCAGTCTTAGTTCAGATTTTCATGATCCAAAATGAAAGATGACAGAATTATAGCACCTATACTGAATGTTCATTCTACACAAGGCACTACTCTAAGTTGTTTATGTTAATTTTTCTAACAAAAAGCGTACTTCTAATTTAGTGCAGGTATTTACATGCACAGCCTCTTTTAAGAGTCAAAAACACCTCTATACAGTAGGTGCTATTAAAATCATTTTACAGATGAATAAACTGAGGCAAAGAGAGATTAAGTAATCTGTCCAAGGTAGTGATCCCTGGGCTCACACACTTATGATGATGACATATTGCCTCAAGCAAAGGACTTCAAGGATTCCTCAAATATAAACCTCTAGTTTCTAAAACATATTTTTTAAGAATATAGTTTTTAAAACTTCAAATAAAAAAGTCACTAACACTTGCATAGGCTTTATGGTAACTATTAACTTATCAGTGGCCATCAATTATGTTAACTTAGGTCTAGGTTTATGCATTTATGTACAGTTGTGGGAAGGCAGGCTACCCGGTCCTCTTTGGACAGGCATCTGAGTTTCCTACAAACATGCTACTCACTAGGAAGTTGTTAAAGTGTAATGAGATTGTGTGTGTCTATGTGTCTGTGTGTGTGTCTGTGGTGTCTACGTTTACTAGGTGTGATGGTTACTTTTATGTGTTAACGTGACTGCACCACATGATGCCAAATTAAAACAGTATTGATTTCTAGGTGTCTCTGTGAGGGTGTTCCTGGATGAGATAAGCATTTGAATTGGTAGACTCAATAAAGTAGACTGCCCTCCACAATGTAGTGGGCATCATCCAATCTGCTGAGGACCTGAATGGAACAGACGATGGAAGAAGAAGGAATTTGCCCCTTTTTGCTTCATACTTGCCTGTTTGAACTAGGCATCTTCTCCTGCCTTTCTATTGGAATTTGCACCCCTGGCTTCCCTGGTTCGCAAGCCTTCAGACTCGGACTGGAATTACACCACTGGCTTTCCTGCAGAGGGCAAATCCTGGAACTTCTCAGTCCCCATAACTATATGAATCCATTCCTAATAAATCTGTCTCAGAGAGAACCTTAAATTTTTCAGTGAATAGTTCACAGAGAAGCACTACGATATTTGCATTTTTAATGATATTGTTGACTCCATAAAGCTACAACAAACATTTGAAATAAATTTCTAACAAACAACAAATGACAACCCAACTGAGAAATCCACTCATTGACTCCCTCTAAATTTGCTGCCAAAGTATAAGAACTGTTACACTGCTTGTTACCAACATCTAATCCAAAATGCCTTTTTCTTCTTTCATGTCTTTTTCACATCAGTTGCTACTGATCCTAGTTACTGACACTTTTCCGAACATAATGAGCACTTCATTTATACCATAGTATAATAGTCATTATATTTGTCTGTTGTGCCTGTAGAGTTGTTCGTTATTTCCTTAAGGGATAGAACAATTTAGTATAGAGCCTTACATTTAGTAAGTACTCAATAAATATTGCTTGAAGTTAAAAAAAAAAAAAGTCTTATTATGAGCTACAGTTGTTAACTGTAAGCATTTTTTAAAGTGCCAGAGTTTTAGGCTTTTCCAAACCGAAAAGAATACAGAATCTTTTTTTTTTTTTTTTTTTTTTTTTGTGGTTAAACAGGGACTTGCACTATCACTCAGTCTGGAGTACACTGGCATACTCATAGTTCATTGTAAACTCAAGCTACTGGACTCAAGTGATCCTCTCAAACTGGCCTCCCAAGTAGCTGGGACAACAGTCACACACCACTATGTTTTTAAGAATCATTTTCATTATTCACTTTGAGCCGACATCTTAGTTAGATTAAGGACTTATTCAACACTTAAAAAGCTAATTTAAAAATCATATCATTTCTATATTTAATCCTCAAATTGCAGTTCTTAGTACTGCTTTTCACTCCCTCTTTCCCTCTTGGCTCAAGTCCCTTTCCAAGATTTGTCTTTTCTAGCTCAGTAAGAGGACAGCACTGTTTGCAGTGGTGCGAGCATGTTGGTGTCACCATCCTGACCAAAAGATGCCATCCAGCCTTCAGCTGCCTGGAGCCTCAGCACTATTTGGCTCAGCCAGATTCACATAACAAAATAGGTGGCCTCAAAATCAAAATGATGCCAGCACTGTGGCTGGAAACCATCAACCTGATACCTACAGAAATTGCCTAATTAAAAAGTGAGCAGAAACTGTCATCCCATATGTTAGGGTTTTGTTTTATTTCAGGAGAAACCACTGCAATTATTTTTCCTTCCATAACTTAGCCTGTTGGGTTAAATCCGCCATTGTTTTAGAAAATCCAAGATCTAACACAGAGCATAGCAGATACGGATAAAGTGAATGAATGAGCTAGGGAGGGATGGAGGTAGGAAGATAAGGAGCTATTTAAAATAGACAAAACATTTAGAGAACCTGTAACTGAATGAAGAACTTGTTGACCTAAAAACATATTCAAAGGTGTTGTTCTCAAACTCGGATCTATCAGAAACCTGCTAATTAACAACAACAACAACAACAAAAAGCGTAGGCCAGGTGCAGTGGCTCACACCTGTAATCCCAGCACTTTGGGAGGCCAAGGCGGGCGGATCACCTGAGGTCGGGAGTTCAAGACCAATCTGACCAACATGAAGAAACCCCATCTCTACTAAAAACACAAAATTAGCCAGGCGTGGTGGTGCACGCCTGTAATCCCAGCTACTCGGGAGGCTGAGGCAGGAGAATCACTTGAACCCAGGAGGCAGAGGTTGGCGTGAGCCGAGATGGCGCCACTGCACTCCAGCCTGGGCAACAAGAGCAAAACTCCATCTTAAAACAAACAAAAAAAAAAAGAGTAAAAGAAAAAAGTTATATAAGCCTACAACTTATTCATCAGTCATAACTTTTCTGATTACAGAATATTAACAATATTAACAGAATAAAGAGGAACAGTAGTTTACTCTTCCATATATATGTTCTGACACAGCAAGTGGAAGGAAGATCACTTGACCCTCGGAAGGCAGACCAAAAAGACCCTTCCAGATCGGAACAGAAAAGGACTATGGAATGGCAAGAAGAAAACAGGTAAAAAGTGTAAAACATACTCATCAAAAGAGATGCATGTATAAAGTTTATCCCAACTTTTTCAGCGTTTGAAATGAAAACCATATCTTCATGTTTAAACAATGCTCGCTGAAATTTGCAGAATGGAAAGGTGATTAGAAAACATCACAGAAGCCTGATTCCTCTTCACCCCCACTTTAAAGGTAATTATTATCTGGAATTAAAACGTGTGTAGAAGGCGATTTTTTTTTTCTACATTAACTCTTCTTCCTAACAAAAGGGAAGGTAAAAGTTAAGGCAGAAAGGAGGTTCACAATGGGAAAGCGGATGTACTTGCAAAGCAAGAATGCAAGCATTGGGCTCAACACTGTCCAGCCAGCACAACCTAAGGTACAGTGAGCATACAGGTGTGCTCCCTTTGCTGGATGTCTCCTGTGATATTTTAACCATGACAGTGACAACGAAACTCTCCTACTGCAACGTATGAAGTCCAGTCACTGGGGTAGTTTGCTCAGGAAAGTGCTAAATTTGGGCCCAAATTCAGCAGCAAGAAAGGAGAGAACAATGGTTCAACTGTGGCAAGTCTGAAGTCCACATGGGTAAAAACTTGCTTCCGCCACACTTCTGGTATGCGTGTATATAGTTATTACAAACAAACAAAAAAGGTTACTTGTTCTTAACTAAGTAGGAGGACTTTTAACCACACTAGAGTTACACTTGCCAGAATGAGCTCTTTTCAGGGCATAATCAGAAGTACCACGATTTGGTGCTATCGTGGTACTTCTGCATTTCAGCAGGCTTCAAGATTGGTTTCAGATTTTATGAAACAAATCCATAACTATAGACCAAACATGGATCAGCATCTGGTGGTTAGACAGAGGACAACTAACCCAATCATGCACTCGAAGTCCAGCCTCTAGAAGAGGATGAGACAATGTCCCCACTGGTAGGCAGTCCACTCAGTCTGCAGTGCTGTCCTGGTGCTAGTGATGATTATACTAAAACTGTCTTACCTTTAAGTTCTTGTTAACTCAAGTTGATGAAATAATTAGTGAAGGCATGCAGTCTCTGGATATGATTTTTCTATCTGCAGTTTTATTTGCCCCATAAGAGAAATAGATTCATGATCTCTTTGGCACATTATGCTAATACTGACAAGTGTTTCCTTAACTTCAGCCATCTCTATTCCACCTTCACAATTTTTGCCATCCTGGTGTAGCCCCTGCATTCTTTATCATTTGCCTCATTCTTTTAAACTGACTTTTAAAATTTGGATGAGATTTTTAAAGGAAGAAAACTGTTTTAAATCACTAACATGAATTCAAAGCTATTATCACTACTAGATATAAAAGATAAATGTAGCAAATACAATATAGTGTTATCAAATTTTACAGATGCAATCCAAAAGGAACAAAATTGAAACTAAAAGGATAACTTTCTCACCATGACTCAAAATTTAAAATTGCTGTTTTGCAGCACCAGTTAAAATCATCTCTAGCAGTGCTGGTAGTATACGCCTTACAATTTGGGGAAAACTGAACTAAATGGATAATGATATAGTACTGTGATGTAAGTCAAATTACAGTATAGACTATAAAATTCAAATTACTAACCCTTGAGGCAGGAATCATGAAGCATTAAGAAAGTCTGCCCTAGATTCTTGAAGAGCAAGATCCTACTATGCGATAATACCACTTCTCACACAATCAGAGGTCATTTTCCTCAAGCAGCCAGCGATAATACCACTTCTCACACAATCAGAGGTCATTTTCCTCAAGCAGCTAATAATCAGTGAGCAGAGAAAGCAGATATAAGGTCCAAGCATTGAAGCATATGCATTTCACCACAGAAAACTGCTGCAGAACTTAATTCTAAGTCTGTATACTTTTTGTAGACAAAATGTTACCAGCAAATTCAGATATCTAGTTCATATACTCCAATCATCCTTTACTCTATGTTCAGGGGAAACACCTACTTTTTTTCTTCTCATATATATTTTAGACATTTGCCTGTTTTAAAAAAAAATCCACCAAGTTAAGACATGAGAAGTGTGTCGCTTTGCTCGACTCTCACTGGGCACATACAGGGAGCAGGGTTTTAACCCACTCCGCAAAACAAGGCCCAGCGGCATCAGAAGGTGCCTGCCCAAAGTCGACCGTGTGCTGACAGCAGAGCCAGGGCTCCGAGCCAGGGTCCTCTCTGCTGAGCACATCTAGTCATTCAGGGGAAGAGACCATATGCACTGTGCTCATCCCAAAGCTCTCTACTTGTCCCTCAGAAAAAAAAAAAAAAAAAATCCTTGCAGTTTAGATAATCCATAAGCACTGCCCTCTTTTTCCCTAAACTCATGCTTCTCTTTTCCAACACAGCACACAATTCCCTTGACTTTGCTCCTGAAATGTCAGAAAACAAAGCCACAAAAGTCAGTGTTTGAAGGTCTTGGCAGTTCTTCTTGGCCCAGAAAATGAGCCTGTAAAAACTTCTCTCTTCATTTACAAACCTCTTTAAAGAGAAATGCAAAACCTGAGTTTTCTCCTCACTTGAGCAAGGAAACATCCGGAAAGGTCTAGTTTTGCTTTTAGAATCAAAGCAAATTTAAGCTAAAGTCAGCTCTAGCATCTTACCCTTTAACCAGGAATGACCGGAAGATCTCCCACCTTCCATGGGAGGGTGCAGGGGTACCTGAAGGGAGTGAATGTGGGCTCCTAACCACAGGAAGCTGCTGAAGGAAAGTTAGCAGCAAGCCTGCAGGTGGTGATGTCTAAGATCCTTCTTGGTGTGGCTGGGGACCAGCAGGGTTGGCATTCCCTGGGAGCTTCTTAGCAATGCAGAATCTTCAGACCCACTCTGGACCTACTGCATCAGAATCTTCATTTTAACAAGAGTCTCAGATAATTCCTTGCACATAGAAGTATGACAAGCACTAATCCAATGGACTTTCTCCTCCCTGGTCAAAGCAATGCAAAATCAAGAACTAAGGAAGGTCCTATCATGACTGTGGCCAGCCCTGGTTATAACCCTGCTACAAACCACTGAGGCTGGGCAGGGACCCAAAGGAACAGCCTCTGATCCGAAAGTGGACACTGTCAGGTGGGGCAACAGAAGACCAGAGGCCCACACAGGCCTCCAGGCACCAGTCACAAACCCTCACAAATGTCTGCACCTATACAAAGTCAGGTTCTTACACTAACTCTCCAGCTGCAGGCTTTGTGACTTTTATTTGCCTACTCACTTGCCTAGGGTATTCAGATTGATATGATTTTATCTGTCCAAAAAATGACAGGAAGCATACTGAGATCTGCCAGACCAAGAAATGGCCTAAGACCCCTATACCTGTTGGTTACAGTAAATAGTGACCTTGTTCTTCTGCTTTGTCATCTGCACAGATTCATTCTTTCTTTTGTTTGTTTGTTTGTTTGTTTGTTTGAGACAGAGTCTTGCTCTGTTGCCCAGGCTGGAGTGCAATGGCACGATCTTGGCTCACTGCAACCTCCACCTCTCAAGTTCAAGCGAGTCTCCTGCCCCAACCTCCTGAGTAGCTGTAATTACAGGCGCGTGCCACCAAGCCTGGCTAACTTTTGTATTTTTAGTAGAGTCGGGGTTTCACCACGTTGGTCAGGCTGGTCTCGAACTCCTGACCTCGTGATCCCCCCGCCTTGGCCTCCCAAAGTGCTGGGTTACAGGCGTGAACCACTGCACCCAGCCCAGGTTCATTCTTTCTTTTAACAACCTCCGGGAAAGCCCCGAACCTTCCATGCTGTCTTCCCCTCTACCCCCACATCCACCACACACATCATGCTACTGAGCCAGAGCCAGGCCCTGCCAAGAAGGGAAGGGAACAGTTAACTCCCTCTCAGCATTTCTAAGAGAGCTGGGTAAGAAGGTGAATGTTCTGCAGGATCCTTCACAAAACTCGAACACTTGCAGAAGGAAAGGTTGAAACTGAGGGGAAAAAATAAAATTTAAAAAAGCAGTGTAGGTGTCTCAAGGAGCAGAAACATTTTTGTGTTCTGATACTGCCTTCAGTGAAAGACTAGTTTCTTTTATCAACGTGCTGGAAGGTAAAAGCGGACACAAGGGAAGATGCATGGAGCCCTACTTTCTAGTTACAAGTGTTTGAAAGAGCTGATGTGGGAACTGGTAAAACTGGCGGCTGACCAGTTCTGACTTTCCACTGAGCATCCCATTAGAGTTAATTACGGGACTGGGAACTTTTGAGCTGTATGGTTTCCTTCCTCTCAAAGAGTGAGAGCCAAAACTTTTCGTCTTTCTTAAGTATTTCTGTTTATCTCTAATCCCCATTTCAAAATTGCTATGTATTTCTTCAGATTTTGTGATTTCTGTGACCATTTTACAAAGTCACTGCTTCCTTGCAGAGTTAATAGCTAGTCATTGTTTATAACTTAGATAACTGCTAAGACAAGAGAATCATTTCAATCACATATACATTGGGTAAATATTATACAGGCTAGTTTCTGAGGCAATTCTGGCCTGGCCAGACCCCACATGCCCACCCCACCCCATACTCCAGCGTAAGCGAAGCTGCTCATCAACACCTTCTGAGCTGAGGGGCAGGGCCATGCTTTGTACTGGTTGCCATCCACCTCCCAGGGCAGCCAACCTTCAGGGTGGCTGGTAACCTGACCTGTACTCTATGTCTTACAGTTGGCATAAAAAGATAAGTTGGGTCAACCATTCTTCACTGAGAAATCCTTCACTGGCAAACAAATGCTGCAGCAGGGGCAAAAGCCAAACTGTACGTAAAAAGAAATCACAAAAAAGAGGTCACCACAAGCCAGTTACAACAGAGCAGGTCATTGAGGAGGGAAGAACAGAGAACCCACAAACAGACGCAGACACACTGGAAAAGAGAGGCCATGAAACCCTCAAGATAGTGTCAAATGCAAGCTTGGTGCCACTGCTTTTGGTATATGTTAATTCCCTCCACCCTCTGCTTCCGTACAATCAAATCCACTTTAACTAGGTAGATCTGGGTTCCCTGCAACCAAATAAGCCATCTAAAACAAGACACTCTCCCAAAAAAAAGTTTTGTTCTGTTTTACTTTTTCTAGTACCTTCAAAGTAAGAAATAATTTTCATGCAAAATAAAAGTATGTCACGATCACATGGCTAAGCCAGAAGACAGTTTCTAATTTATAGAATGTAATAGATAACAGCAATTTAAAACCTATTAGAAGTTGGCAGAAAGGAGGAATCATTTTTTCTTCACCATATTTCCGACCAAGTACTGACTGCTGCATTATAACAATGATCCACAAAAGAATACTATGTCTGGGACCTGGGGTTTTTGTCAAAAATATCAGACAGAAATATACAGACCTAAAGATAATCGATTCAGAAGAAACCTACAGATTTTTGTAGGAAAGCAAAAGCAAAACACAAAATAAATCAGGGATGTAACAGGAGATAAATAAAGGAATTACCTTTTAAATAAATAATTCAGACCATATTTGAGACTATCGTGAGGAAATTATACCAGGGTCCTTACAAGAACTGAATTCCATCAGTAGATAGGACCACTGGGAGCTGCTACTTTAATTTAATAAATCAAATATGCTATAACAAGGAGCAATACCAGCCCATGTGGGAAGCCCTCTAAGCGGTATAAAACTCAGGGTTAAACCAAGGTACCCATTTAAAAATGAAAGGCATTTGAGTATCCCATTGGGGTATCTATTAGGATGCTCTATTCAAATGTTCAATAAAAATGAATCAATAGTGGGATCTGAAAATAAAAATCAACTCACAAATATACCACACAAATTGAAGTGGGCAAAACCACCAGCAGCCTAATTAGAAACAAATGAAGACAGAAGATGCCTGAATGCAAGCAGGTCTGTTCACTACAGGGAGAGTATACCAAGTAACAGAGACACAGCCAAGAGGAACCAACCCTTCCGCAGGGCAGGTTTCCCTTGCCACAGGAGCACCCAAGCACTGGACAAGAACCGTGCCACCAGTCCTCAGTATCCTGTTCAGCAAAATAAGTGGACAAGGTTAAATGATTTCCCAGCCCACTCTCTAACTCTAGGAATCAGATTGAACTTATTTGGAGAAAGCTGTCTCCAAAACTTGTGTTATGAAATTTTTTTTTTGGAAAATGCCTATAAGTTAACTGATCTATTCAAAAATGGCATTAATTTCACCCCAAGAATCATACAGTTTTCCCATGACTATCAGGGAAAGCACCTCCAATAATATTTATCTAGCTGTATTTACTAAAAACACTCCCAGCATCTGAAGAGATAAATGGCCAACCCAAGTGGAATCTTTCTTACCATTTCGAGACACGTCTAGTTCCACCAGCTGCATGAAGTTTGCTATTTCTGGAGGGAGCCGCTGAATTTCATTATCACTAAGTCCAAGCTTTCGTAATTTGACTAGCTGGAAAAATTGCTGAAAGACAAAAGAGTTTAACATAGATTTCACATGTGTTTGTATCATAAACTTTTGGGCTACTATGAAATGTAAAACAATGTTTTTTAAAAACTAATGAAGATTGTAGCAACATCAATTTCCTAACTTTGATGGCTGTACTGTAGTTGTGAAGATGCTACCACTGGGAAAAACTAAGTATAAGGAACCTCTCAGTACTATTTTTGAAATTCCTATCAATCTACAATTATTTCAAAACAAAAGGTTTTTAAAAATTAATGAGCAACTTAATGAGAAGAACAGTCACTCCTTTAAGCTATCCAGTAGACATAAATATTGACTTATGAAAACTGACATTAAATCTGCAATGCTAAATAGACACGTAAAAACAGACAAGTAAAAATGCATTTAAAAAATATTTTTAGCCGGGCGCGGTGGCTCAAGCCTGTAATCCCAGCACTTTGGGAGGCCGAGTCGGGCGGATCACGAGGTCAGGAGATCGAGACCATCCTGGCTAACACGGTGAAACCCCGTCTCTACTAAAAAATACAAAAAACTAGCCAGGCGAGGTGGCGGGCGCCTGTAGTCCCAGCTACTCGGGAGGCTGAGGCAGGAGAATGGCGTGAACCCGGGAGGCGGAGCTTGCAGTGAGCTGAGATCCAGCCACTGCACTCCAGCCTGGGCGACACAGCGGGACTCCGTCTCAAAAAAAAAAAAAATTTTTAAATATTTAAATGTTAAAATATTTAAAAATATTTTAAAAGACATTTTTTAAAGAAATTATCATATATCAGAAAGTATGATAAATATCCCACAAATGTGTGCCGGCAAAATATATATATATGACCAATCTAAAAAGTCTGCACTGGATACTTCCATCAACCATGGCAGACTGAGTATGTGTTCTTTCCCCACACTTTTTAAAAACTGTATTAAAATGACACCAAAGGAATTCACATGAACATAAATATAATGTGAAATAAGCCCATGAAGACAAAAAATGAAAGAGTACAAAAAGCAAACTAGATATGCAACAAAATCCTTTAAGCTAGAAAACAGAGGAATGAATGGCAACCAACCAACAAATCGAAACAAAGCTGGAATTTAAGCCTGTGGGGTGAGTAGCCAATAAGAAACTAGGTCCATGTACCTCTGAGGAAAGGAGAACTGATTGAAAATTTATATAAAGAACAATTAAACTGCCATATTCTCTTCTCTACCCTGCAGAGCCAGGCAGGAGCCTGGAAATTTCCTCTCCAGAAGAGGTAAGTCCAAACACAGCTAAGCACAGCTGAGGGCAGGGATAACGTAACCCTGCTAAAAACAGGGGACTGAGTCAAAGCCTGGCCAGTAAGATCCCACCCTCTCTTCTCCCCGCAGCCCGGCTCCTGGGCATGAGCACAGACTTGCAGACACCAATCGTCCTATAGAGAAGCTTCAGGTTATATGCCTCACCAACACATGGAGCTTCCAAACAGGCCTACCTCCCCTGATCTCCACTGCCACATGCAAGAAAGAGAATGTGCACACACACACACACACACACGCACACACCCCACATCTCAGAGGAAACAAACATGATGCAGGGAGCAGAAAAAATACTTCCTCAACCAAAATATAATTAATATCCTCAGAGAAATCACAGATGAAGCAACACAACACCATAAAAAGCATAATTAGAAGAACTAGAAACAAGCTTTCAGAAAGTGAAAAATACTGTAGCATTGATAAAAGAATCCCATAAAAGAGGTGAAAAATAAAGTGAGTAGAGTCCTCAGAAGGTAGAATAAAAAGATGAAAAGATGGGAAAATGGAAGAAAAAAAGAGAGGAAAATGAATGGACCAGTTCACAAGGTACTACAAAGTAATTCATAGTTCAAAGAGAGAAATACAGGGAACTGCAGGACATGCTTTTTCTGGTTTGAGAGGACCCACCATGCAACCAATAAAACGAATGAATAAAAAAGTACATACCAAGGAATACTCCAGAAATTAGATTCTAAAAGCTTCCAGAGACAGGAAATAAAAGAAAAAGATCATAATGAAGAATTGGGTATCAGAATGGCACTGGACTCAAAAGGAATCTTGAAAGTAAGTGGGCATGAAGCAATGCCTTCAAAATTCCTAAAAAATCATTATTCCCAACCTAAAATTGTATACCCAGCCAAACTATCAATTAAGTATGATTACAGAATAAAAATATTTCAGTCACACATGGTATCAAAAAGTTTAGTTTCCTTGTACCTTTCTCAGGACTCCATCAAAATATGTAAATAAACTTAAAAGAAAAACAACCTGAGATCCAGGAAACAGAATCAACAAAACAGAGAAAGGCAAAGGAAATTCCCAGGATAAAATCATTAAGGGAATTCCAAGATGTAGCTTGAACAACAGGCTCCAAGAGCAAACCATCTACACTGGAGCAAAATACGACAGCTCCCAGAGGGAAGTTTTGAAAAAATAAATAAAAACACACCTGAGGAATTATCTGATATGTTTGGAAGCATCAAAGGAGATTTACAACTCTTTCAGAATGTTTGGTGATAAATCAGAAATAGGCATAGAGAGAACAAAGCAAGCAAAAGGAAAGAGGGTTATTAATTCCAGGGAAAATATAAAGTGAAAGAACATATAATATAAAATCTGATTATGAACAATACTTACAGTCATAACATTATAATATCTATATTGGTAAAACCAAAATTTATGTTATGTCAATATTGAGAATGGGAAAGAAACTGTAAGAACTAAAGCCTCATCTTCCATAAAAAGAAATCCATAAATAACTCAAAGAGGAAAAAAAATCAAGCCGCAAAAGTAAGTCATTTAGCAATATGGAGGCAAATATTTGCAGAAAGAGTCAAAAGCCGGAAACTGGAGTGGGGAAGGAGGCAAGAGGCTGCTGTTTTTCATAGTCATACTAAACAGCTTATTAGATTTTTTAAACTATTTGCATACATTACTCTACTAAAAATGGAAATTGAATTTACAAATGAAGAAGCCTCTACTAAGATTACAGGATGCTCCAAATGTTAATTTTGTAGGATGCTAACATTTAATAGTCTTCATCTTTCTTTTTTGGGTTGGTAAAAAAGATTGCATATTTATATAATCATACAATTGCCTCTTGGAAAGCAATTGAGCAATACATAAAAGAAAAAAATCTTTTCAAGTCCACTGAAATACTTCTGGGCATCTGTCCTCATAACTGAAAATAATGCACAAATACATCTATGCACTATTATGTGTAAAAATAAAAACTAGAAAACATACATTTCAAAGAAGAAAAATGATTGCATATTATTAAATAATTCAATATTATGCAACAATAAAAATAAATATTATAAAGACCACAGAACTTGAAAAAGATTTACCATGCAAATATAACTAAAAAAGAAAACAAAATTGCAGATACACTACATTTAAAAAGCATATGTGCATGTGGACTGACAGGAAGAGAACAAAGAAGAAAAAAGCAGTTATGTTAGGTGACAAGGATAATGCATGAATGACTTTTTAATTTAAAAACCATATTTAAAAAAAAATAAAATGAACTATAAATCTCAGTAAATGAATGCTACCAATTAGCTATACAAGATAATGAGGAAAGTGCTCAACTAAAGGACTAATCCTTTGGATTTCTTTACTCATGCAGTTGAGATTTAATTTCTTAAGGAAAGATATTAAAACGTCTTTATACTGCCTGTACTAAAGCATCAGCCAGCACAAAAGCCATTCAATAGAGTCACATATTTGAATAATTGAGCTTATGCCAATTGTTCAGAGTCTGACAGTTTCATAATACATCAATGTGTTTACTCAAGCATGAAAAGCTCACTTTGTTTTCCAGGAAAGGCATAATAGCAAAACTACAAAACCCATCACCATTTCCATACACTCTGGGACCATTCAGAAATAAGAC